TGGTTATACCCTTTATTTATACGTCCATGGTTATACCAGAAGAAAAATACATAAAGCGATTAACAGCGTTTATAGAAGAAATAGCATGTATAGACAAAGCGTTCTTGCTCTCTATATCGGGGGTAACAGACAGAATTGGGCGAATACTTAAAAAAACCAGTGTAAAGACCATTTGCAAGCCTAAAAAGAAAATCAAGGACTGTTTAAGATCGGCAAAGGACAAACGTTACCCATTAGCAACGGCCGGAGTATACCGAATACCATGCACCTGTCAAATGGTATTATGTGGGAAGTACGAAAAGACACGAAAACACAAGGATAAATGAACATAAAAGCTATTGTCGTTTAGAAGATATCGACAAATCTGCCGTTGCTTTGGGAAGCGGAGAACATCGGATACTGTTTGAAGAAACGTAGATGCTGGATAAAACATCACAATACTACCCACGGTCGTATCGGGAAGTGGTGGAAATATATAAGCATCCAAATAATTTTAATCGGATAGAAGAAGGACTAAAAATCAACAAAACATGGATACCAATAAATTACTATTTATAACTGGGAATAAGCCACAATTAAAGATAAAAATACGTTTATTGACGTTTCAATTTCCAATTCGGAAATCGTTCTCAAAATACAAACAGTAAATTAAACAAATTTTGTTTTTTGTTACATAGTGAAAAAATTCTTCTAATAATTTAATTTTATCTGACTCATTTATATTGACAATTCAGACATACATTATGCATTTTAAAGTAGACGACTTTAAAATGATATTGCCAATATTGTTGAGTTGCGCTCCTGGGACGACTTTACTTACAATGTCGGGATAGTATTATGAGGTTTTTTTCCTGGTTTTTCCCTCATAATTTACTATGGAATCACTAACAGGAGAATTTTACTGTCATCATGTCATGTGTTTGTCTTTTTAAAGACGAATTACATGCTATGATTTTTTCTGACGGATATTCTCAAGTTAAAGTTGATTTCATGTAATCGAATGAACTATCTTATTTATAAGTATTTGTTCGTGAATTTAGTTTACCTTCAACAAACATCAAAATTCTGATTTTATATGTCACGTTATTTAAAAAAACATAAATGATGTATCCTCTATATGTTATTATCTTATAAGTAAAGTCGTCCCAGGAGCGCAACCCAACAATATTGGCAATACCATTTTAAAGTCGTCTACTTTAAAATGCATAATGTATGTCTGAATTGTCAATATAAATGAGTCAGATAAAATTAAATTATTAGAAGAATTTTTTCACTATGTAACAAAAAACAAAATTTGTTTAATTTACTGTTTGTATTTTGAGAACGATTTCCGAATTGGAAATTGAAACGTCAATAAACGTATTTTTATCTTTCTTTTCTATCAAAAGCAGCTTTTTTGCAAGGTACATATGTAAGTGTTTCAGTTGAAACGATAAGAAGACTTCGTGTCCAAAGACTATACAATAGTAGACAGTTACGTGTTCCCCAGTTAACCAGGCAGCACAAGATTGATCGCCTAAATTGGTGCATTCAACACCAAAATTGGAACATTGGAAATTGGCAAAATGTGATAATTTTCAGATGAAACCAGGATTTGTGTAAAATCATATGACCAATGAATTCGTGTAGTTAGAGGGCGAGGAATACAAGCAAGAACGGAAACAGCCAGATCTGTTCACATACATTAAGGAGGAAGTGTTCTGGGGAAGTAATGTGGTCGGTGGAAAAACCCCTTTAATTTCCATGAGCTAACTTTAATAGCTCGCAGATATGTTGATTTGGTTGTAGAACCTGCAGTTAGACTCTTAAAAAAGTGCAGTGGAAAAAAATTTAATTTTCATGCATATGCACCTTCACATACCAGTCACATACTTCCTTGAAGCAGAAGATATCACTAATCTGTAGTGGCCTGCTTGCTCACCCGACCTTAACTCTATAGAGCATTTGTGGAATATGCTTAAAAAAGAACTAGACCTCGCCAACATAATTCGCAAACACCGTACAACTAGTACAAGCTACTTTTGAAGAAAGAAAACAACATATCACAATAAAATCTTGACAATTCGTTTAGGAGCATGGCCACGCGAATTGAAGTTTGCATATAGCCTAAGTTGGTTTTTTAAAATTCGATTAAAATAATAAGAAATATCAGATGATTCCATATAAGTTTTCTTGTGTGTATACAAAGACTGTTTCCTGAAGATAATCGATATTTAAATACAGGCGCCGTTTCAAATAATTCACAAGAATTTCCAGCTACAACACCTGGGCTCCTCCTTTGCTAAAAGGAAATCACCTGTGACAGACTTGAGGACCTACGAAAACCAGTTCATTAGAAGCACAATCTACCATTTTCCTGAGACTGAAGATTGTTGTGTACCATTGAATATTTTGCAAAAAAGGCTTAAAGAGGCATAGAGTGGGCTGGAACTGTGCATAGAGTTCTCTCTACACAGGTGTTTAAAAAATTGGGATTTAAATGGAAGAAAACGAGAGAAAATCGATGTTTACAAATTGAAAGGAATGACATACTGAGACAATATACAATAGAAGTAAATAGTGGTAAAGAATTGTTCAGAAGCATTTCAAAAGGAAGTAGGTTATAAGGTTATTATACACGAAGGTGAGCAAATGGGTTACATATACTACTTTTAGTTTTTTCATCAAGTGCTAAGTCGCGAGATTATCAATGATGACAGTATAACACTTGTCAAATTTTCAAACGCAAAATGTCATTATGATGGAAGTAATATAAAAAATAGATTTAAAGTTTATGAATAAACTAAATCGATCGAAAAAATGTATCCGTACGTTGAAGAATTTTAGTCAAAGGAATAGCAGTGAAGAAAAAGAGCCGAAGGCTAACCCAAGAAGGCCAAGATCACCCGATTGACCGAAAAGATGATGGAGACTATTTTTTAAATGTGAATGATAAATCAATGTTGCTACAGCCCTATAGAAGAGCCTTCCCAAGTCTATTTTGCCACCCAGCCCCATCCATTGCCAACTGTTGCTGTTGCAGGATGATATAGACGAAGATGTTAGAAAACCGGGCAGTTCTATCAGTCCGTTTCGGTGCTGATTTGAAGAAAAACCGGCCTAGTTACTCTTGTAAAAATTTACTTTCATCAAGAAAACTCACCTTTGCGCAAAGTGATTGTTGTACAGTCAAAATTACACTACCTGAAATACGAATTGATCTACCACCAATCGTATTACCAAGATTTAGTTTTGTGTAACTATTTTCTGTTGCCGAACTAAAAAAAAACTCGGAGGACGCCGTTTTGCAATAAACCATGACGTCATACCAAACAATTGAGATATACGCGCACTTGACCGAATCGGCCAGCAAGGGAACGCACCGCTACAGCCCGGAATTAAATGCCGTATCATTTCTTGTACCCGCTAATGAGTATCACTAATTTTTGTTCGATTTTATCCATGTCCATTTTATTTTCTAGTTTGTTCCGTTATAGTAGCGCGTACTAAGTCACCAGACAAAGCACTACTACACACTAACCGCGAAAATATTCCATTACGAGTTCTCAGCGCGATGCGGTGTGAGTCGATGTGTTACGTTTTCGTAAAGTGCGCGTTAATGCAATTACAATACATAGGTACATTATACATATTTATAATGAGACAAGTGCAAGAGAAATCATTAGAATACAACAAACCGGCATATCTGTTTCGTAGACCTTACGAATGCATTTAACCGGGTCAAATTAAAAGACGTTATCCACTTACTGTACGCAAGCGAGATACCTCTAGGAATAATCAAAACGATCGAAAATATCTACCAAATCAACACAATAAAAGTAAAAGTAGAAGAAGAACTAACCGACCCTATTGAAGCTGGCAATGGGATAAGACAGGGAGATTCCCTGAGTTATCTATTGTTCAACCTGATTATGGATGAAATAATAAAAAAAGTAAGAACTAAAAAAGGATACCAAATGGGAGAAAAACAACTTAAAATAATCTGCTATGCAGACGATGCAATACTATTATCTCAAAGTGAAGATGATTTACAACGTATGCTGCACAAATTTAATATAACCGCCAGAAAATTTAACATATCAATTTCCCCAACAAGGACAAAATGCATGGTTACAACAACAAATTTACTAAGATGTAAATTGATGCTGGAAGGTCAGATAATAGAACAGGTGATGGTGTTAAAATATCTAGGCATCACATTATCTAGCTACGAAAGCTCGAAACTGAAGTCGAAGAACAAGTGAATATAGCAAACAGAGCCGCAGGTTGCCTAAATGAAACAATATGGAGAAATAAAAATATCGGGAAAGAAACGAAAGGCAGAATTTACAAAACCATCACAAATTACAAAACTGTCATCAGACCAGTAATGACATACGTAGCAGAAACAAGACCTGATACAGAGAGGACAAAAAGGATGTTAGAAATAGCCGAGATGAAAACATTTAGAAAAATCGATGGTAAGACACTGTGGGACAGAGCTAGAAGTACAGATATACGATGTAGATGCAAGGTGGAGAACATCAAAGACTAGGTAAGAAATAGAAGAGTAGAATGGAACGATCAAATAAGCCGAATGACAACAAATAGAGTAGTAAAAACGGCAAGGGACGGTTCCCCAATAGGAAAACGATCAGTAGGACGATCACGAAAACGATGGAACGACAACTTATTGGAGGCACATTGAAAAATATATAAAAAGAAGAAGAAGAAGAAGGTACATTATATTACCGATCGCCTTGGTGCATTCCGTTACCAACCGGGTTCGTCAAGTGCGTGCATAACTTTACACCATTTAGAAGCTTGAGTAAAAGTACTTTTAAGATGGGTGAAACGCGTTTGAAAATTATGTTATTGAGAGAAAAGCGGGAACATTTTTTTGAAAAATATCAGAAAAATTAAAATAGCGTGTCTTCTCATTTGTATGTCCTAGAGAAGAACCATACTATCTTCGTTTAGTTATTTTTATTATTAAAACTACAATTAATATAAAAAATTACCTGGCGTCATTAATCAATCCTCGATGATCACCAAGAAGCTGTGAAGTTTCTGTAAGAATTCTCGTACCATCACTAAGCTGCTGAGTTTGTACTAACATCCGAGTATCCTGCTGTATCAATCTATTATCTTGTTGCTGTTGATGTTGGGTGGTATATTTCTGGTCATCAATTGTAGTATACTTTGACGTTCTTTCTTGATTGTTTGTATTGGAAGAAGCGTGTACTTTCATATGTGTGTTAAGCGTACTGGATTGTGAAAATGCTTTACCACATGTCACACATACATACGGACGTTCGCCAGAATGGACACGCATGTGACGTAGCAGGATGGTGTTCACTGTAAAACCTCGACCACATACACTGCATACATATGGACGTTCTCCCGTATGGTTTCTCATGTGGTATTTCAACTTCATTACAGTTGTAAACCTAAAATTTAAACAGTTATTTTAAATTACTATATTATTACTATTGCTCGTTTTATTGACAGCCCTTTCGAAGTAATTTGTCCCACTCTAGATCACTAGTTTTTTTGCAGGATATGATGTTCAAATACTTCCTAACCTCACTGATATAGCCCAATGAAGGTTCATACGATATTCTCTCGTTTAGCGCTCTCTCCTTTTTTTAAACATTATTTAGACACTCAAATCTGTGAAAGAAAAGTATTGAGCACCATATATGGCGGAGTTAACGAACGGGGTCTGTGGAGAAGGCGATATAATTTTGAACTATGTACGTTTTGGGGATGCAGATATCATGAAAACCATGGGTCTGTGGAGAAGGCGATATAATTTTGAACTATGTACGTTTTGGGGATGCAGATATCATGAAAACCATAAAAATAAACTGCTTAAGATGGGTCGGCCACGTTATGCGGATGGATGAAACCATCCTGCTACAATCTTCTTATGGTGCCCTCTCCATTACTGATGGTTGGCTATAACTACAGCAAATTGCTATCTATCTTGAGCTGTTCTAGTATCGAATGTGTGTCCAGTCTTACATTTTTCAGCCAGGGGCATTTTCTCCTTCTTGGACGTCTTCTTCCTTCCACTTTCCTTTCCATTATCAACCGTAGGAAGTTGTATTATTCTCCTCTGTAAATATGTCCTAGATAACTCGTTTTTCTGGTTTTTACAATATTTAGGAGTTCTCTCTCAGTCCTCATTCTTCTCAGCACCTCGTTGTTGGTTACGTGCTCTGGCCAAGAGATCTTCAGCATCCTTCGAAAAACCTACATCTCAAAGGCTTTTACACGTCTCATACTTGTGATTCCGAGAGTGATGTTTTCACTCCGTATAACAATATGGAATAAATGAATGTTTTTAGAAATTGATATCGGATATCCAACGATAAAGTAGAGTTTATTAGGATTTTTTTCATTCTTTGAAAAGCGGACCTAGGTTACTCTATACGAGCAAGCATTTCATCTTCGTAGTCAAGATCGTTTGTTATCCAGCAACCAAGATACTGGAATTTTTGTACGGGTTCTATCTGTTTGTTGTAGATACAAATATTAATGTCGGCAGTTGGTGCACGTGTAACGGCCATTACTTTTGTTTTATTTGTGTTTATATTCAGCCCCAACCTATCTCCCTCTCTGGTTATGGTATTCAAAAGTCGTTGCAAACCCTCAGCACTGTCCGCATTAATGACGGTGTCGTCTACGTTTCTTAAGTTGTTTACATATTTTCCGTTGATTTTTATTCCTTCTTCAATATTTTCGAGGGTATTTTGGAAGATCTTTTCGAAATATATATTAAACAATAGTGGAGAAAGTACACAGCCCTGGCGAACTCATCTTTTTATTGGCATTTCTGCTTTCATACAATTGTCTAGTTTAATCGACGCCATTTGATCCCGATATGGGTTTTTAATAAGGGTCACCGTGTTGTGGTCTATATCATGTTGTGTTAGGATTTCTATGAGTTCTATGTATTTTATTCGATCAAACGCTTTTTCGTAGTCGATAAAACAGAGAAACACGTCTTTTCTTTGTTCCCGGGATTAACATCTGGAGGCCAAATAATGCCTCCCTCGTACCAAGCCCCATACGAAATCAAAATTGATTGTCGCTCAGATTTCTTTCGCATTCTCTGTATATACGTTGATGTACAATTTTGAGTAAAATTTTCAGAAAATGGCTCATCGGGCTAATTAATCTGAACCGTGAGCATCTATTTGCTTTATTTTTCTAGGGTATAGGTATAAATGTCGATCTAAGCCAGTCTTCTAGGAAGATTCCAGTGGATATATTTTGTTGAATAGTAGTCTTTGTTTCTTTCTTTTTCTTGTGTTGTCTTGTAGTAGTTCTGTTTGTATAGTTGTGATTGTTGTTTTGAAGGTATACCAAATACTTTCTACTGATTCTTCTGTTACCGCGGGTGCTTCACTGAATTTTTCTTTGGGGTTAATCCATACGAAGTGGTCCAAAGTTGGTTGCTTGACTATTTTTAATATTTTTTATTTTTCTACCTTTTATACTTCAGTATATAGACAGTACAAAATTGCATTCATTTTATTTAAAAAAGAAATTATTTTGCCGATGGCGGCCATTTTTGTTTCATCGTGTCGGTCATTTTCACGGAAAACATGGCTTCACTCTTGAGCCAATATTTTCGCTTAGGTTTGTCCTAGAATTAGATCAAAAAAAACTAAACTGTTTGTAAAAGTATGCTCTAAAATAGTGGTCCATAGCATTATTTAATTACAAACTACCCTTAAGACCTTAAATGGACCTCAAAGTTTGAAAAGATAAACTGATAAAATTCCGTTTTCAACATTTTTTTAAAAACATGAGGCAAGCTGATAATGGTTTGTAATTTTATTCTGGAAAAGACATACATACAAACTTTAATCAAAAAAAGTTTGAGCTTTGAGACTCAAGTCAATTTTTTCGAAAAAATCTCAAAAATGTAATTTTTTCAAAAATTTTAAAGTTTGACTCCTTATATCTCTGATGGGCAAGCAAGTAAAAAATTTGAAATTTGGCTGAATGTTAGTTCCGAATAAGTAGAATAAGGGTAAAAATTTGAAGTTGTAGACTTAAGGAGTATGCCATACATATGCTACAATATCCATGCTGAATAGACCAGTCGGAATAAGAAGATATCTGGTGGATGTGCAGGACAATCTAAGGGAGATTTAAGTAATGGGATGGATAAGACAGACGATCGAAAGGGAAGGATACAAGAATGTTTTAAGGCAGCCAGGATTCACGAAGGGCTGTAGCGCTAACTGATGATGATTTAGACACTCATAAACATAAGTGTGCTACCAATATCATTCTCCAGTCGACGTTTGGTGGGAGAAAAAAAGAGAGTCGTATTAAAATATCACTAATATTAATAAATTCTGCTTACCTCTTTTGACACACTGAACATTCTATAGGCTTCTCTGTTCCGTGAAGTCTTTTGTGGCTTGTTAGATCTCCAGACTGCCTAAAAGCTTTTCCACAAAAATCACAAGCAAATGGGCGTTCGTTAGTATGAGTTCTCATGTGAATTTTAAGACTAGCCTTAGATACGTAACCGTTTTTGCAAATTTCACATTGGAATGGTCGTTCACCTAAAAATTATGTTTATTCAGAGATGAATTATCACAATATTTACAAGTCAATAGCAAAATAAGATATTTTATGATTATTGGTTTATATTAAAAAAATATCTACTGATCATATCTCATCCGCTCTCCGCTTTAAAGCCTATTCAGTATCCCAACCCTTCAGAATAGTAACTCAAATTACATTTTTATCATAAGGAAAGTGTTATATGAAAATTATGGCCACCTATTTTAAACTCGTAAATACGTGAGAAATTGTGGAGAATAAAATTTTTAAAGTATAAAAAACTTAATTTTATTATAGAACCTCAGTGCTGTGGTCAAAAAAGAACTAAACACTGCATTATGTACATGGTTGTTAACCCGAAACACTGTAATATTAATAGCTAATGTGCATTAGTAAATCCAAAACAATGTAAAGTATATCCAATGTCAATTGAAAATTGAAGTTTTACGAAGAGGTTTAAATATATTATTTAACAGATCTTTTTTACTACACGAATCGCTGTACGCAACGTAACCAAGCTATGCAAAATATCCTCATATTCGTATTATCTCTGCACCGATTGTGATGTTCCGCCTTTCTTGTATAAGTAAAACCACAGCGTTGCCAGATGTTAAATAAATATTAAATTTCTTCATTTTTCACTTCAAATCGGAGACAAAAGCATCGAGCAAAAAGACAAAAGAGGGAATCTAATCGTTATGAAAAGACCAAATTCATAAAAGTGGCCTGTTAATATGGCGGACATATCAGGAAATGCAAAGGCGCCAAATTTAAATTGTCCGACACTTATTAAGAGTAGCTGTAAAATATTTTTTAGAATGTGTCTTAGACGAGAAAGTTTTAATTAAATATTAACGATAATGGTCTAAAATGTGACACAATTATTAAAAAACTTCAATATAAATAAGACTTCATGTGACAATTGGGACAAACAATGACATAACCCAAATAAATTTGATTTCTTAAACAAGGAAAGAGACCTCCTTTCTTGTTTAATGTGGCCTCTCAACATGGCACTTCCCGTCTAACAATATTTTTATCCCCACTACCTTTACATTCTCTTTTGTGTATTTTGCCATCGAGCAAACACCAACTGGAATATGAATTGGTCGATCACACACCATCGCCAGATTTAGAAAATGACTCTATTTTGCAACCAATGATGAGGTCATAGCCCAAACTTAGTACTTAGCCCATATTTAGACCAAATTTAAAATATAATAGAAATACGCTTGATTGTCACTGAAAATTGTAGAATTTTATGGACAAAGCTTACAAAAAGTCGGAAAAATAACAATAACAAATTAAAATTTGTTGAAAGAGTTAAAATCCCGTGATTTTTGAAGTAGCTTCTGCAATGTGTTATTTTACTGAGGCCAAAAAGATACCGTATTGTTCTTTTTTGTAATTTAAAAATATGTTATTTTGGAATATGATAAATTGATTTCCTTCGAAACAAATCTTATTGCATATCAGGCTGAGGCTAGTTTGTTACTTAACAAATCGATATGAAGGGGCCATTTAAGGTTGCTGCCTATAAAAACACCAAGAAATTTTACAGAATCAACGATACTGATCTGTAAGAAGCAAGTGGTGACGAGCTCCTATATCGGATAATGTTACTATGTTATCTACGTTAAAAGGGAGTAATTAGAGTCGAACCAGGTTTTTATTTTAAGTAGATCAGAAGTTGTAGTTGCATGAAAACTTGCAATATTTGAGTTTCTCCAGGTGATACTGGTACCATCAGCAAAAGGAAAAATTTTTCCATAGATTTTCAAGTTAGTGATGTCATTTATAAAGATAAGGAAAAGTAAAGGACCCAATACTGAACCTTGTAGTACTCCACATACAATGCTTTTGTGACTAGAGTCAGTATCATTTGCTATAATTTAGTTGTTTCCTATTAGTCAAGAAAGATTGGAACGTACGAATTCCGTAGAAATTTAGTTTTTGTATCAAAAATTTCGTGATTTACAAAATCAAAAACTTTGGTATAGTCACAAAAAACAGTGGCAGTGTAAAGATTATTGTTTACTGCTTGATAGACCTCATTAAGTACAGAAAACATAGCATCACTGGTACATTTATTAGATATTAAGCCGACTTGACTGTGTGATAAAATGTTGTTTTCAACGAGAAAGGACATAAGTCGGACTTTTATAAGTTTCAATAATTTTGAATAGGACCGGTAGTAAGGCAATAAGTCTATAGTCGCAGACATTCGATTTTTCACCATCCTTTTGAAGAGGAATAATAATGGCTGTCTTTAGTCACTCTGGAAATATACCTTTTTCAAAGGAATCATTAATTAGTGGGACCAGGACTTTAACACATTTGTTGGGAGATTTAAGGAAATTTTTATGGATAGTCCATCAGTACTACAGAAAGATTTGATACTACTGATTGTTTGGATCAGTTCAGATTTATAAACTGTCTTATAAAAAATTAATTCGAGAACTTTTTTGAATTGGGGAGCTGGAAACAGGATCTTGTTGTGGCAAAATAGTTGATGTTATATTTTTGCTCACATTAACGAAGTATTCATTTAAATTTTCAGGGTTTGGAAGAGAAAATGTTTGAGCTGTGTTAGTTTTATTTCGAAGATCGTTTATTATGAACCAAGTTTCTTTTGCAACATTTTTAGAGCTTCCGAGACGATTTTGATACTACATTTTTTTAGCTGTTTTGATAAGTTTTTGATTTGATACCTTTGATAGTCCAGGGTTTGGACTATTAAACAAAATGCCCCATTGAAAATACAGACAAGTCTATCTAAAAAATCAATGAAACTACACACCACGTTCACAGAGGGAAAGTGCTACCCAGAAGTCAAGCACAAATATTGTAATTTACGAAAGTTGTGAGCGGAAAAAATCCTACCTAAACGTTGGGTTTTCGAGGATGGTTTGTTAAGAGTGTTAAACTTTGTATGTACTGCTTCATGATCAAATCGTCTTGCATTAATAATTGTAGAGCGTACATTAAGGGGTGAGAAATCTTTGACAATATAATCCATTATCGTAAATGTCGTTTTAGTAAGTCTTGTAGGAGAATTAACGAGGAAATGTTCAAAGGACGCTATTTAGCAATAACTGATGATCTCATAGCTCAAATTTCACACTATTTTGACAATAACGACTAGAAGTATTTTTCGGAAAAACAAAAGATTGGGAAAATGTATTATCAAGTATACCATTTTTCAAAGTAAAAACGTTGCACGTCACAATTTATACAAAGTGACGTCACTTATATTTAAAATGTCCAGAACGTCAACCTCTGAGTTCAAATTTTTCTAACATAGCTAATAATACGAAACCCATACGGAAATGCTCGATCTTTCATAGGCGTCAACATGGTATAATAATCAGAAAAATGTAATCATCATTATATTGGGAATTTTAGAATTATATTGATTAAATAACCAAAAATATTTGTTATTATTAATGATCTAAATTTTATGAAATCTTTAAGTTTAATATTCTACAAAATAATAATTTTAATTAAATAGATTAGACAATTCTACGAAACTGATACGAGAATACTTCAAATTTTAATGACAGTTCAGCGTGTGGCAAAACTGTTTAAAGTGTTGCCGCTTTATTAGAGTAAGAATTTTGTTTATGTTTTGATTTCTTACACAATTTGATCATAATATATTATATATAATAAATTGTATTTATGAATCCATGTTAAATCTAGATTAATAGCTTTAAAAACTAATTATTGTGGTGTATTGTGATTGTGCTATGCCAAAAGAACTAAACAGTCTATAGAAAGCTGATAAGTTTTCATATAAGATAGATTATTTTGAACCAGAAATAATGGCGGGACGTTTTTACTATTAATGCTCTAAAAGAGGTAAGTTTAAAATTTAGAATATATATAATTTTGTATTAAAATGTCTTCATATGTACTTATTTGAGTGTGTTGCAGTAGTCTTGAAAGTGTATTTACTGATATTGTAACAGTTTAACAAATAGTTGACATTTTAAAAATTCCTCCTACTAACTATTCTGATGTTTTGGCAACGCTGTGGGATTCTGACGTCGTAAATCTTGATTGATGTGCAATCATTTTTATATGAAAAATTCTATAAAAAGAACAATTTCCATTTATTTTTCTTAATATGAAAAAAAAAACAAAAACAAGCTTTTTAATCCCTCATGTGCCATTAAAAAAAAAAATAAAAAGCACTACCCAATAGCTCAAGTATGTTCTAAAAGAAAATACAGGCACAATGTATTTGACTATGATTTCTTTACATATTTATACTTTATTCCAACAAACCAAATCAAACGCAATACATTTTTATCACGTTTAGTACACTGCACCCATCGTTGGAATGCAGTGTAATAAAATTAATAATCACATATTAACCTAAACAGTTTATATACGCCAATTTACTAGCGATAAGGAATAAAAATAAATGGAATGAATCACCTGGTAATTATTCACAAGGAATTAATCATTAATATGATTCGAAAGCTATTTTCTTGTGGCATCTAAATGGAATTACTATTTTTATTGGGAATAAGTCACAATTTATGTTTAAAATAAAGCTATTTTTGACGTTTTAATTTCCTCTTCGTAAATCGTTCTCAAAATATAAAACATTAATAAATTAAACAAATTTTATTTATTTTTGCTTGGTGAAAAATTTTAATGATTAAATTTTATTTGACTCATTCATATTGACAATTCAGACATATATTCTACATTTTAAAGCAGACGACTATATATTGCCAATATTGTTGAGTTGCGCGTTACTGGGACTTTATTGTAAAATAATTCATTCGATTCGAATCAAATTTAACTTGAGAAATAGCAGGCAATTCGTCTTTAAAAAGACAACCATATGCAATGATGACAGTAAAATTTTCCTGTTAGTGATTCCATAGTAAGGCGGCAGAATGCAGTAGAATCTGGTTACCCATATTAAAAGAGGAAATCAATAAAAAGAAAATACACCTATTATGGTTTGTTTTTTAACCAGGAGTAATTCAAATTTACCGCGCCGTAATGTTTGTTTGTAATTGGTTAAACCGCAGGCAAGCTTACTACACTAAATTATGAAATTTTGACACTAATGACATTTATGAAATTTGAAAATTCAAAATTTATATCGACGATTTTCTGCGTCATTCCTTTAATTTTTAGATTATTCGTTTGCATTTTCAGTTTTCAGAAACAGTTCTTTTCAGAACTATTGAGCGACGTATTAGTGTTATTAAGATAACAATATAGATTCATTGTTACAATAACAATATATTATAAACACATACAAACAAATAAAAATTGGTAATCCTGGAATGAAAATAACAGCCATGGTAGCAAAAATAAAACAGGCAACAGGTTAGTTTTGCAGAATCGTTATTGTTAAAATCAAGACTTACTACAGTACTGTGCTAATTTTTGGTGTAGCGAATTCAACTATTTACAGAACAATTAAGGAATATAAGCAGACTGAAACAGTAAAATGTCTTAAAATATTTACAGTCGACTTCTATCCTTGCAACATAAATCTTGGTAACCTTGGTCAAAATATTAAAATGTTGGTGGTGAAATAGTAGCTTAAATGTTTCTATGTAGTAGTAAAAAACTATTTCAACACCAACCAATTTTAATATTTTGACCACGGTTACCAAGAGAATGGTGTGTTTGCTTTACACCTTATTATTCTTCACTCACCATTCGTAAGTTCTTTTTCCATATTTTTATATTATTGCCTACCACCTTTGTAATTTTTTAGATTGAACTGATGAAGCTTGTAAATTCAATAAGCGAAACGTCTTCAAATATAGGAATGGAACTGTGATTTCCTTTTATTATTTCTCCTTTGACCGATATCCTCATGACCAAAAGATTTATTTCTTTTGGAACTTACTCATTGTATATATATATATATATATATATATATATATATATATATATATATATATATATATATATATTCCAGATTCTGAAATTTACTCTGACTACTGTTTTTGAGGGGATTATGATTTTAACTGATGGTATACCTGCAGCACTTATTAAGAACTGTATTTTTCCCTTTGTAAACTTTTACAACAAATTTTCAATTTAGCAGTGTCATCATCTGTATTTCCACAATTTGGGAAAAATATAGTTTTCTTACACCTATAAATCTGGCAATCGTGAATGTGTCAACAATTATGGATGAATTGAATGAACAATGATGAACAATTATAGATTGAAATGTGGTGTTATTGAAGAATGTGGAAAATATCTTGGACACAACACATAACAAATGCGAAAACGCTACGAAGAATGGAAAAAGATAAAGACATATTCAACACTATAAAGAAAAGGAAAATGAGCTACTTTGGTCACATACTAAGAAACTAGATATACGAATTGATGCGGCTAGTCATACAAGGGTAGGTGGAAGGCAAAAAAGGACCGGGGAGAAGACGCACGTCCTGGTTGAAGAATCTGAGACAATGGAGTGGGAAAACGTAAATCGAACTTTTCAGAACGGCTGCAGATAGAGTCAAATGGGCCATGATGATCGCCAATGTCCTTAGGGATGGGGCACGTTAAGAAGAACTATTCAATCAGCAATCTCGAAACTTCTAGATAAATTGGTATCGATATATCTCACCTGGACCTGCATAGAAGTCCAGAAACATAATTATTGATGAACAACATGGATTTTCTAACGGGAAGTCAACAGTAAGAAATCTTGTCAATTACCAACAATACTTGTTGGATGCATTTGAGAATAAAATTCAGGTCGACAGCATTTAAACTGATTTCTCAAAGGCCTTTGACCAGGTTCCTTTTGGTTCACAAACTTCATGCATCTGGCTTTGATGACCCCATTTTAATTGGATTTAAAATTTTCTGATGGGACATACACAGCAAGTTTCAGATAAAGTTCAAGAGGAGCACACACCGAGGCATAGATGCGAGATCAACAACATGTGTGCTCTGTACTAGATCCGAGGACGTAGGGACGTTTTGTGTGCATATAGTTAGTGGGGTGAGGTACCTTCAATGTGTGGAGTTGGGTATGGACAATCTGACTAATAATATCGAGAAGATGAGGATCCACCAATGGAAGATTTACAGGCTGTTTAGATGCATTTCTTACTTTTACCTTTTTGGATACAACATTAAGTCTAATACATAAAATTAAATAAATAACTGCAACCTACATAGTCCCTTACAATAACTCAAAGTATTTCAATTTCACAGTCTACTCTAATTGTAATTTTAAGCGAAGGTTCAATACATTTAACTAAATTTTCAACCTTAAGATACTCACAATTAATTAAAATTACAAAATTACTTACCAGTATGTGTTCTTGCATGCAATTCCAAGTTAAACCTTTGTGGAAAACACTTCCCACAAATATTGCAAACAAACGGTCTATCCCCAGTATGCTGTTTAATATGAATGGAAAGACTTTGATTATCAGGAAACTCAACTTTACAATAATCACAAATATGTTTCAATAATCCGGGATCTCCTTCTTTTTTCTCGTGAATTTTCATGTGCTTTAGAAGACTGTTTTCAGCGTAACATCCTTTGTTGCAAATTTTGCACACAAACGGCTTCTCTCCACTGTGTTTTAACATATGTTTGGAAAGCAGAGTACTATGTATGAAACGTTTTTTGCATATCTCACATTCGTGAGGCTTTTGCTCGTCCGGTACGTGAGTGCGCATATGATTGTTCAAATAATTTTCTTCAGTGAAGCCTCTAGAACATATTTTGCACTTGAAAGGACGGTCTTCTATATGGGTCCTTAGATGTTTTCTGAAGGATTTTAAATTGATGAATTGCTTCTTACAGACGTTACATTGGTTTGAGTTGCGCTTCATTCGTTTGGCAGCTAACACTAAAAAACATTGGTATTAAAGAAACTTAAAAACAATATAGGCTATTTATAAAAGACTCTCTTCTTATTCGAGTGTCATATCCTCATGTAATCTCCACTTACTCTCTTTGACTACGTTTTTTAAAATCGCTAAAATATATAATCTCTTCTCCCTTTAAAGTACGTATTTCTTCCAATGTATGTAACTACTATTACCGTATAGAATTAAAAAAATAATAATTTTTACATTTCTAGGTTCTTTTCACCTTCAAACATAACTCCAAAATATATAAAAATTTGAAGCCAATCCCGAGATATAATGCATTTGCCGTAGCGCGCTTTCGGCTCGGCGCAGGTGTTCACGCAGCTATCAGTCGCGCGACTTATATTTATTTACCCTTCTCTAAAATACCGCTTATACTTTTACATATTATGTTGCTAGCTTTCTCATAGATTATCAGTTCTATTTCTATAGACTCGATTTTGAAAGAAATATTTACGAAAAAAACAAAAAAAAAACAGCCATTTTGTGTTTTAAAAAAAAATTCAATGTTTCCGGTAAAATTATCACGCAAGGGCACTTCTTTTTAAAAACCTTCTCGAATTTTATGTTTAACATTTGCCACTCCAGAGATTAATTGTTTGTCATGGAGCAGTAATTTTTGGACTAAAAATCTTTGGCGCGATCTTTAAAATACAGTACTAATGAAAAAAAAAATTCTTGTAATCTTCAAAAGTTGTATAATACTTGATATAAAAAAGTTTAATTGCCATAATAATAAATAAGATACAAAAAAAATCGTTGAAAATGTGTCATTTTTAGCATTCTAGACAATAATAGTACCACAAAACTGATAAGAGATCAAAGGAAAGGGAGATATCACCTGAGGTGTATTTACTGTCTACAGAACAATGATAAGAGTTATATAGTCACTACGACACTTTTGAGAAAGAAAATAAAATTCAAATATAAATAAAATATCTTTTGTTACAATACCTGCAACTTTTCCTCCTTTAGCCAACATCTTCCTCCTAGCCTGTCGACTTTTATGAAACTTGGCAGACTTCAGCAGTTGCTTTTGAGCAATTACCTTTTCATCCTGTGGATTATCTGACAGAGTATCTTGAAGAGCAAGTAACTCATCTTTAAAATCATCCTCGTCGCTACTATCGGAAGATGATTCAAGTCCTAGGCTGTCCAAGAAACTACTTGTAAAATCTGTTTGGTGTGTTGTTATTTCCTCCTTAAAATGTTTCTGATTTGTCTCTAGTGGTTTACCCAGATATGTTCTGAGATTGATATCACTTTGTTCAAAGAGTTGTTTAAAGGAATAGGACCTCGATACTTCATGGCAACATTGTAAGCAGATAAGATTTGGCAGACCATCATCGTCTTTAATCTGAAAAAAAAAAGTATAGAAACTTAATGTACATTGGTCGACATGAACAAAAAAGTAATGGTTTAACATAAAAAATTAAAAACAAAAGATATCAACACAAAACTTTATTTAAAATGACAAAAGGTTGGGAGAGCATACTGTATTAATGAAGATATTGAAGAACTGGACAAAACAAAGTACTTAGGAGTCTGGAGTACTGAAGATCTAGATCCAAAATCAGAAATTCTATCAAGAATAGAGCAATCCAGAGCAACCTTTTTGAAGATCAGGAAATTTCTGAGTAACCAAAGACTGAATCTGCAAATCCGATATCAAATGGTAAAATGTTGCACTCTATTCTTCTTTATGGTGCCAAAGCGTGGACTGTTAGTGTTGATTAATGACTTAGCTGTAAGCTTCTGAGATCTGCCTGTTTAGGAGAATTTTGAAAATACTAACCATGGACTGATCATATTATGAACAAAATGGTGTTGCACAGAACAGGAAGAGACAGAGAACTTTTGAACACCATTAAAAGGAGAAAGACATCATATTTGGCGCACATACTTAGAAATGAAAGGTATGAGTTGTTGCACCTGCTTATTAAGGGTAAAATCTAAGGAAAACAGAAGTCCTGGTAGACAAAAAATATCCAGGCTGAAAAATATATGTGACTGGACCTGGTTAAACATACAGACGCTTTTAATTCAAATTAATTTATTGATGTAATTTTGCCAGTAGCCTAACACACGTCATAATAAAAGCAAAACAAGGGTTCTATTAAAAAATCTTAAATTCTAGTTACATAAAAACACATATCAGATTACCTAAATTTTATTTTTAAATTGAGTATTGGGTAGATCCTTTACATTATCAGGCAGTTTTTTATAAACTTTAATTGCCCAATACCCTGATCCAGTTTGACACCTCTTTAGCCTCCAGTAGGCCAGAACAAGATCACATATGTGTCTAGTGTTATGATCATGCACCTCTTCATGGATCAAAAAGTGCCCCCCGCTTCTCTTAACAAACATAAGGTTCTCAAATATATACAAGGAGGACAGTAGGAATACCCATAGTCTCATAGGCCAATCTGCAATCGTCTCTAAACCCAAGGCCTGCAAGAACTCTTATAGCCTTACGTTGCAAACCAAAGACTCTCGGCATTCCCGCCGAATGCCCTCAGACCAAGATTGCATATGTCAGATGAGAGTGAAAAATGGCATAATAAGTTGTTCGTAAGACCTTGTGTGAAACGCCTGATGCTAGATTTCTGAGCACATATAAGTTCTTTGATTGATTTTGGCTCATATAGTCAATATGTTGACCCCATTGAAGCTTTGGGTCTAAGTGTACTCCAAGGAACTTGGAGTACGCTTAGACCCAAAGTCTTGGAGTACTTAGACTGGAGTAATTAACAACACTATCCCCTGACAGCACCCTTCACAGATTATACCCTGTTCTTGAGGTATGATTGGATCAACTTGACACTCTGTGGACAACAGTCGTACCTCTGCAGTTTTTTCGGGAGTATCCTATGGTCCATTACAATCAAATACCTTACTCAAGTCACAAAACGCAACACTGTTGAATTACATTATATTAAAGGATTCCAAGATGCGTTCCTGAAACTGAACTGTGATCCTGAAAAATAATTGTTATTTTCGAAAAAGCTTGTGATTTGCAAAGCCATGGCCTTTTAAGAAAAGTAGAAGCTAGAGACTATTTTGCAATGGTTATAGCCAATCTGGGACTATATATATATATATATATATATATATATATATATATATATATATATATATTATATATATATGAGACTAAGAAACTACTTACGGCCAACGGCGTAAGAATGCAGAAGGCAACGGGAAACCACTGCATTAAAGACTCTTGGAGTATCCCTAGAAATCGTCATGGCTAATAAAAGTGACAATCAACAACCTACTAATCATGGTTCTCGGATGCCAAGATTCGGCAGGGGAAGAAACAGCAGTAACGACAGGGCTTCCCAGGCCGTTAGTCAGCGAAATCCCTGTTCACTAAATATATACAAATCTACTTACAAAATAGCTACATGGAATGTAAGAAGTATGTATGAACCTGGGAAAATAAGAAATATACAGCAAGAGATGATGCGACTAGAGATCGATATATTAGGAATAAGCGATACAAGATGGGTCGGCTCTGGCGAAATCAGTACAGACAATGGACGAATTTATTACTCTGGAAGCAGCGACACCCAACACAGATATGGAGTTGCTATGATCCTCACTGAAAAACTAACGAGATCAGTAACAGGCTTCGTTCCGATATCTGAAAGAATTATAATGGTGCAATTATTGACAACCCATGGAAAAATGAATTTAATTCAGATTTATGCACCAACTGCTGACAAAAATGAAGAAGAAATAGAAAACTTTTATAGCGAACTTCAAAAAACATTACATCTCACAGCATCTAGAGACGTAACAGTGATCATGGGTGATTTCAACGCAAAAATTGGCGAGGGAAAATGCTACCCTAATGTAGGACCATATGGGCTTGGTGAACGAAACGACAGAGGGGATTGCCTAATAGAATTTTGCCAGGAGCACAATGTTATAGCCGCAAATACATTCTTTAAATTACCTAAGCGACGCCTTTATACATGGAAATCGCCAGCTGACAAAGACAACAAAATCGTCAGAAATCAAATTGATTACTTCCTAATAAAACACAGATATCGAAACTCAATTCAGGCAGTAAAGGCATATCCAGGAGCGGACGTATCTTCTGATCATAGTCTTCTTATTGCTAGATTTCAACTTCAACTAAAAAAGACACAAAAAAGCCGCAATAACAATAAACTTAATATACAGAAACTAAAGTCAGAAGAAACAAAAGAAAATCTGAAACACGAAATCAACACAAATCTAGACAGAAACCCAGGAAATAACTGCAACGTAGAGCAGCAGTGGCAATTCTTCAAAACCTCTATATTGGAGCCAAGTAAGAAACTACTTACAACAACTAAATATAAGAAAGAAGAATGGATGACAGAGGAAATTCTAGAGTTGATGAATGAAAGGAGAAAAAACAAAACCATCAATAAGACGCGCTATAAACAGCTTCAAAACCAAATAAGAAGAAAAATTAGGGAAGCTAAAGAGACCTACTTCTCTGAAAAATGTAAAGAAATAGAAGAACTTCAAAACAGATATGACAACTTCAACCTACATAAAAAAGTCAAAGAACTAGCCGGAGTAGGAAATAGAAGAACCTCAAATATATTGCTCGACAAAAATGGAAATATTATATTGGAAACAGAACAAAAACTACGACGATGGAAAGAGTACATCGAAGAATTATTTCATGACCAGAGAGAAGCTAGTACATCTGTAGATAGCCAAACGGGAGATGTAGGTCCAGAGATAACCAAATCAGAGGTTAGTCAGGCATTAAACTCAATGAAAAACAATAAATCTGCTGGTCCAGATGAATTACCAAGCGAGCTACTAAAGTTGGTCAACGAGAAAAACCTGGACATAATAGTAGAACTGTTCAACGCTATCTATACTACGGGAATCATTCCTAGAGAAATGTTGACATCAGCATTTGTGTGTTTGCCAAAGAAAGTGAATGCCAAAGAGTGTAGTGACTATCGAACCATAAGCTTAATGTCACATACCTTGAAAATTCTCTTGAAAATTATCCACGCCAGAATACACTCTAAACTGGAGCTGGATATTAGTGACACTCAATATGGGTTCCGCAATGGTATGGGTACCAGAGAGGCATTATTCTCCTTCAATGTGCTGACACAGAGATGTTTGGATGTTAACCGTCCTCTTTACGTCTGTTTTATAGACTACAATAAAGCGTTTGATAAAGTAAAACATGATCGACTCCTGGAAATTCTAAAAAATAAAAACCTAGATGAAAGAGATTTAAGGCTAATAACACACCTCTATTACAATCAGCGAGCAATAGTAAGAATCGAAAAAGAAACATCTGAAGAAATGGAAATAAAGAGAGGAGTCAGGCAAGGCTGCATTCTATCACCTCTATTATTTAACGCCTATTCTGAAGAGGTAATTCGAGAAACTCTGGAAGATGAAACAGTCGGCATAAGAGTAAATGGAGTCTTAATTAACAACATCATATATGCAGATGATACAGTAATAATAGCCGATAGTTTACAAGACCTGGAAAGACTCATGAGCAAAATAGTCATGTGTAGTAGGGAGTACGGACTCTCTCTTAATGTCAAAAAGACGAAGTTTATGAAAATTTGTAAAAACAACTATAATACTAACGAAATCTTGATAGTAGAGGGCCAGCAGATCGAAAGAGTAAAAAAGTACACTTACCTAGGAACACTTATAACAGAAAATAATGACTACACGGCAGAAATCAAAGTCAGAATCGAAAAAGCACATTCTAATTTTATAAAAATGAAAAAGGTCCTATGTGGCAAAGATCTAACATTAGCTCTTAAAGTACGCCTAACAAAATGTTACGTGTACAGTGTACTATATTATGGAGTGGAATCATGGACGTTAAATCTAGATACCATGAGACGACTTAACGCCTTTGAAATGTGGACCTATAGAAGAATTATGAGGGTTTCCTGGGTAGATAGAGTTACAAACAATGAAATACTGAGAAGAATAGGCAAAGAGAAGGAAATTGAACTTACAATTAAAGAAAGAAAGCTACAGTATCTCGGACATGTGATGCGGGGCGATAAGTATGGCATCCTGCGACTCATAATGCAAGGAAAAATAGATGGCAGAAGAAGCATCGGAAGAAGACGAATTTCATGGCTGAAGAACCTGAGAGAATGGTTTGGATGCAGCTCAAAACAACTATTTAGAGCTACTGCCTCAAAAATTAAGATAGCTATGATGATTGCCAACCTCCGTAGCGGAGATGGCACCTGAAGAAGAAGAAGAAGAAACTACTAAATGCGCTGTCCTCTTTAGAAGGTGGACTGACAATAAATATCTCTAAAAGTCAAATAGTGACAAAAAAAGAGATAA